TAGTGGAAGCTACCTGTGGAGTCGCGCGGTAGTTGTACGCTGGGCGTCGGCCGTGGGTGTCATGCGTTGGAGTACGGAGAGGAGAGAGAGATGAGAGAGCGGCGGCGGCGGGTATGTGATGGGTATGGGATGTGAGAAAGTGAGAATGAGGAGGTAATAGTGTTTGAAAGTGAGATGGGTATGGGTGGTGTCGGCGGGTCACGGCAGCAAAATCCTATTGTAGTGTTGAGAATGAGGAGAAGAGTAAGTGATAGTTTTTGGTCTTTGCACTTTGACTTTGAGATTCAGTACTGTTTTGTTTGTGATGGTGTTTGAAAGAAAATCTTTGAGGCGAAGCTGCAGAATCGCAACATTGGATGGTGAGGTCGGTCCCTGTGCCTACGTGGAGAGATTTTAACGAGGGTTCACAACGATAAATTTTTTCTGCTTCTTTTAAGATCTTCTGTATTTGTATTATCATTCATTTTAATTGAATTAATATATTAAAATAAATTGATATACCCACAACTTCAAAATTTTATTTTCAGATTGATGATGTTAGATTTGGGTACCTTATATCTAAAAAATACTATATAAATTCAAATGTCTCTTCTAATATAAAATTAGAACTTTAGATCAATAAAAAATAATGTAAATAAAATAAATGATAGCTTTTCATTTACGACTCCGATCATTTTAACTTAAATATATAATAAGGATTTATAATTTTAATATTAAAACTGAAGGTTACTTCTTAAAACAAACACTTATATAGAAATGAAAGCACTGATATAGTTTTAACCAGGTAATTCATAAAGTGTTAAAACTAAGATTGATATTGTCATATTCTTCAAAACGTATTATGACAATACACCGTATTAAACCCGTATATACTCGTATCGTATTTTTTCTGTATCTGAATTTTATGACCGAATTTTTATAAACGTATTTTTTACCGTTTGCCGTATTATACCTATAAAATTTCCGTATCTTTTTTTTTTGTCGTACCCGTATTTACTAACTAGGGTATATTCATATTAGAGGATAAATGAAAATATTTAAACATTTAGTATCTGAGGGCAGGCTAGTTTTTCATTTTTTTAATTAAGAATAAGGATGTAATTTGTTACACAAGTATTTGCACAAGTGACTAGAGTAGGCAATGAGGACCGAGGATTTTTGCCTAGGGGAGGCCCCTCGCTCTGCCACTGTTTGCCAATCAACTAGTGAAAACATAAGAAAATAACATTACAAGGAAACACAAGAAAATTGTTACGTGGAAAAACTTCTTCAATGTGGAGAAATAAAAAATACCACGAGAATCTAAGATCCATTTAAATCAATATAATAAAAGAGATTACTGATGCGCATTTTTGACAAACATACAAATGTAGCAAGTGCATAGTCGCAAAAAGTAATAAAGTGATAAGTACAGTATCGTTCCCACGAGGATAGTGGTTACTAAGTACCGATTTATCTAGTTTAGTCTTAATTGAAACAACAATAAATTGGATTGATAGAAAATTAACGAACTAAATACAATTTAAGAAAATATAAATGAATTATAATGAAATTAAAGCAAAACCCAATAAACTTTAACTAATAAAAAAATGCTAAAAAAAATGCTAGGGTGTTGATTCACCTAGATACGCTAACCCAAATCATAGAACTATTACCCAAGTTCTAATTCCTTGATTGAAAATCGAATTCCCTAAGTTGTAAAACATACTTTCTCAGGCTATATTTTCCTACTTATCCATATTAAGCTTCTGCACCCAACAAAATGAAGATTAATAGTTCAAAGTTTTTTAAACTTTACAGAATTCTATTAGATTTCATAAATTGGGAAAGCTATCTCTAGCATTTGTTTAATCTACGGTATTTATCCCAAGAGGCACAATCAATCACTTCTTAGTCTCATTGTCAACAACACACATTTGAATGTTGATCAAGTATCAAAAAGTCATTAAAAAAAGAGATAAACCCTCAATCATGAAATTAAAATTCAAAGTAAATCGATTCATATAAATTTGAATCATTGTATCAAGGTTACATCAAACCCTAGCTAAACAACTCAATTCATACTCAAAACAAACAAAAAAACAAAACAAACTGAATCAAGATTCATCATTGAAAAAAAAGTAAAAGATGGAAAAACTTCTCTCATTTGAAGCCCAAATCTTCAATAATATCTCCTTCCAGAGTGCCTTCTAAATGACGAACCAAGACCATTTTTCTTTCATTTTCATGCTAATTTATACCTCTTTCACTTAAGGACGAAACCCTAGCAAGCCAAAACGCGTCATTTATTTTTCACATCGATGCAGTTTCGCTGCGGTGTGAAGCTTTTTCCTTATAACGGCGAGAATTTTCAGGCCAAATTTGAGCATGAAAGAGTTGAATCTGGAAAAGTGTTAAACATATGAATTATAGTCCTTTAAATTATTTTCTACTCGTTCAAGAATCAGCACAATCCGAGGTCTAAAGCTCAAGTTATGGCAGAAATACTGAAGCACATCCAAGAAGTTTTTCTTCTGTTTCCAACATTTGTTCATGACTTCAAGCCAAGTTTTCACCCTTGTCCAGTCAGAATTAGAAAAAAACTCAAAACCTGAAAGTTGTAGCTCGGTTCTAGCTTTCCAAAGCTTCTAAAAATAGGTCTTCTGAGTTTCCAAGCTCAAGTTATGCAATTTACGCTCAAAACTGTCATTTATGCTCAAAATCATCGTTTAGGCCTGCAAAGACAAATTAATAGAATTATGTAAAAATTAGGCTCAATTGTATAAGAAATATCTTAAATCCTATCGAAATTTAATGCAAAATCATAGGAAAAAATATGATTATCATTTACAACAATCACACAATCTATCAAAATATTCTACATAAATTTAGAGCTCAATCACAACTCTAACAAAAATAAAATACACAAAGGTTTACAAAAGTGGATTACAATCACTCCAAATTCAGACCCGCATGTAAGAGGGAAGTTGGGAATTGGGGAAGAAAACTTGAATATAAAAAAGATAAAACTTAACTTTTAATTTTTAACTTCTAACTTTTCACTTTCTTTTTTACCTTTTAATAAAACTTTTCAATTTTTTTTTTAAAGTAGAGGGCAGGCCTGGGCCTACCCTCAAGGGGCCTGGGTCCCGCTCTGAGAGTGAGGTGGGTGTAAACAAGCCGAGCTTTGGCTTTCGAACTTGGCTCGGCTACTACAATATTAAGCTCGACCAAGCTTGAGATATTGAGCTTCAGCTCGACATAGAAAAAGCGAGCTCATGCTCGAGCAATACCTGCTCGATCCACCATGGTCGAAAGTGCCGAAACAAACATCATCGCCTACAATTCATAGAGCCATCTTTTCTACCAGCAATGTCTTCTCATTATTCACTCTCTTCCAGTAAACGAAACCAATCTTAAACTAGTAATGATCACAGTTTCTTCCATTCCCAGAACTCCATTCTTATACTTAGATTTCCATTCTCTTACAAATCAAGAACAATGATAAGAAGAAACAAATAATCACTAATTATTTGCCGTCCATAAATCCCAAATCGACATACCTGATGAAGAAAATCCACAAGAGAAGTTACGATGTGGACGAGATGAGGCGGCAAGGAAACAAAGCGATCTGGTCGAGAACAAGGCGACGAGACCGACACTCCACGTGACAAACGGTGTTGGATTGGCAGAGGATTCACAAAGTCGCAATTAGGGTTTTTAATTATGTCCTAATTCAAATTCAAATTTGATTTTTACATATTTGGGAATAAGGTTGTGTTTGTCATTTTTACAAACTGGTAAGTTCTATATACCCCCAATAGTTGTGAAACTATCACATCACCCTTTCGATTTGAGCTCACAAGCTTGGTGAGCCGACTATCAAGAAACTCAAACCGATTCCCCACCTACGAGGCTACGACGAGCCGCTCAAGCTTTCCTCAAGCCGAGCCGGAGCCGCTCACGAACGGCTCGACTAACACCCCTACAATTCTTCTCAAATTTGAAATTAAATTATAATAATATAACTTTCTACAAACTGGTAAGAAGGTTATATTATTATAATAATTTAATTAAATTATACATATATAAATTCTTCTCAAATTTGAAATTGAATTATACTTTGTCTCATTCCTAAAGAAAAAATTTTAGGCTATGTTTGGGTTAGTATTTTTATCCATATTCTGGATCTATTCTCCAAATAATGTTTGGCACATTATTCCAGAAATATTACTCTATTTTTTAATTACTTTTAGCTCATAAGGTTATTAATTTCACTAAATACCTCATGAAAAAAGTTTAAAAATTAACAAAAACACCCCATCAACCCAATGTCAGATTCTAGCAACCACCGTCGGTGATAGCCGGAATCTGTACAACGGCTAACTTCCAACCAAAAATGGCCGGAAGTTACCGATCTGGCGTCAGCGACGGCCAAAGAAATGGTCGGCGTTGACGGTCAAAGAAGGCCAAATCCTGGCCGTCGTTGACCGAAAACGACGGCCACATCTTTGGCCGTCGCTGACAGCCAAAGAGGCGTCGTTTGGCCTTGTCTGGCCGTCGACGGCCATAACAGATCGTAGATGTGGCCCTTGCCGGCCAGATCCGTGGTGGATCTGGCCGGAAAAGGCCATAACGACGTGTTACGGCACAGATCCGACTGGTCTGTGCCGTAACGAAATTTTTCGGAGATATTCGGCGGTGGTGGCCGGAATCTGGCACGAAAAATTCTGGGGGGTGTTTTGTCATTTTACATATAGGGTCTTTAATTAAATTAGTAAACCTAAGGGCGTTTTCATAAATTTTTAAAATTTACCTCGTAATACTCCCCTATCCAAAAACCCAATACTATCCCCAAAATCCTATCCAAAATAATAAACCAAACGCACCCTTAAAGTTTTGGATTATAACACTCTAGACTAAAGAGGAAAAGCATTAATATATACACTTGAAAGAAAAGCATAATATTTGGGGGTTCATACCCAATATATCTTAAATTATCCAATTTGTTATCATCATCTTCATTCTAAGTTTAGAGAAAGCTGATATCCCCCAGCAGACTGACCAGCATGAAGTGCTCTACCTGAAATTGGAATGTAAAGTAGAAAATAAACGAATAAGCCAATATCACCACTTATAGGAACAAGAACTACTAATTTTCCAGATTCATCAACTTACCACTGCCAGTATCTGTTCAGCGTAGGTGTGTAAGTAGCCACTCTACTTCCACCACATTGGCCCCCAAAATTGACTGCCAAAATACTGATGAAGGAGCGAAAGGGCTTGATGGAGCAGCTGATACACCAAAGCTATTCCCCCAGCAAACTGCCAGCAGGAAGTGATCCGCCTGAAATTTGGAATTGCAAAGTGGAAAATAAATGATCAGCCAATGTCACTACTTATTGGAACAAGAACTACTGATTTCTAAGATTCATCAAACTTACCTTTACCTCCCAACTGATAATCCTCCCATCTCAGCTCCTCATGACTTTATCTTTATAGACAGGCATGGCAGATATTGACTCCAACTTTCCAGCAGGCTGGTACCACTGCCAGTATCTGCTTCAGTTGTAGGTGTGTAAGCAGCCACTCTACTTCCACCACCTTGGCCCCCAAAATTTGACTGCCCAATACATGATGAAAGAGCGAAAGGGTTGATGGAACAGCTGATACACCAAAGCCAACCCCAGCAGACTGACCAGCAGGAAGGGGTCTACCTGAAATTTGGAATTGTAGAGTGGAAAATAAATGAATCAGCCAATTTCACCACTTATAGGAACAAGAACTAATAATTTTCCAGAAAAAAGAAGATACCTGCTTGTGTCTGAGCCAGTTGCTAAATCCAAAAGCACCGCCACTCTGAGCAGGTTGACACAGTTGGAATGGCATAGAAACAGAGGGCTAAAGATGCATGCACAACAAAAATAAAATTACATAAAGATTTTAACAGAAACTTCAAAATCCAACATCACTCCAGCGGAGCACACAAACAAACAAGAAAGTCCAATAGAAGAAAACTGTTGAAAGAATTAAGCTCAGACTCCTGTAGTAGCAAAAGCAGCGATAAGGTAACAAAACAAATTATAGCCCACAAATATTCCAAAAATTACTAAGCACATATAACAAAATTATTGCTCATCAAGCCTCTAATGGGCACGTATGCGGAAATTTTATTCCAAGAACTTATTCTATTAAAATTTATATTTTGCCCTGTTATTTGTCTATCAGTCTCCATAAACCTATGTCCCTAACATTTTAGATATGCCAGCACAAAAAGTTGAACTGGCAGATTGAAATAAATGTAAAGGAGTCCTTAAACATACCAAAGCAGCACAGTACAAATTTCCAGTAATGGCCTTAACAGCAATAAGCTCTAAAACTCTCTTCAAGATGAATTAAAATACAACAATAAAACACATACTTTTCTAAATATCAATTGAACAACTAAGCTTTAATATGACAATGAAAGAAATCAATTTTAGCAATTTCAAAAGTCACTTACAGTTGGTTGACCGAACAATTGTGTGCTAGAAGAAGCTAGTGATGGAGTGCTCAAGAACATGCCACAAGAAAACCAGTGGAAGGTGTGCTAAACAAATTTGAAGTACCCAACGAAGACATAGTACTATTCTTTCAAATGAAGAGGTGGCCAGTCCAAAACCAGAACCTGTCTGTCCTGGGGCCGCGGAACTGAACAATGGAGATGACTGATTACAAAAATTCATGCCAAAGCCAAATGATGACATTGCACCTGAGCTGCTTTACTATTGAAGAGGGATGATGACGAACCAAAAGTAGATAGAGGTGAATTGGCACCCAATGCAGAAGTTGATGTTGGCCCATGCCCAAATATGGAAGGAGCTGCAGATGAAGTTGATCCAAAAGGATTAGGTGTAGACGATACACCAAAAGGTGAGGTACCAAAAGCAGCTGAAATGGTGGTTCCAAAACTTGATCCAGTAAAAGTTGAAGTTTTGGGAGCAAATAGATTTGAAGATGTAGTGTTGGAAAAAGGACTAGCTGATGATGCCCCAAATACTGATGAAGGAGCGAAAGGGCTTGATGGAGCAGCTGATACACCAAAGCCAATTCCCCCAGCAGACTGACCAACAGGAAGTGGTCCACCTGAAATTTGGAATTGTAAAGTGGAAAATAAATGAATCAGCCAATGTCACCACTTATAGGAACAACAACTACTAATTTTCTAGATTTCATCAACTTGCCTTTACCTCCCAACTGATTATCCTCCCATCTCAGCTCCTCATGATTTTTATCTTTATAGACAGGCATGGCAGATATTGACTCCAACATTCCAACAGGCTGCGTACAGCTGCCAGTGTCTACTTCAGTTGTACGTGTGTAACCAGCCATTCTACTTCCACCACGTTGGCCCTCAAAATTTGACTGCCCAAAAGGGGTGCTACCAAATGTTGGTGTTGTAGCTTGGGATCCTGCATGATAGCATACAACAGTCATAAAATTTTATTTTGCTTACTTTTGATAGTTGATGACAAAACAGGTAATGATAAAGAAATAGAACATTGTAGGCTAATGAGCTTCTTATCGACACAAATGCTTATCAGAAGATAAACAATCATTATTTATTTAAGAAACTCACTGAATGGAGAACTCTGTGCTCCAAAGGGAGATGTACTGGTTCCAAATGGGCTGCTACCAACTGCAGAAGTTGACTGGCCAAAAGAAGGAGATGACCCAAAACTGAAAGATGCAGTACTAGATGCCCCGAAGGCGGGAGTACTTGAAGCGCCAAAGGCAGGAGCACTTGAAGCCCCAAAAGCAGCAGCACTAGAGGGCCCAAAAGTAGGAGTGCTTGAAGCCCCAAAAGCGGGAGTGCTAGAGGCTCCAAATGCAGGGTTGCTTGATGATCCAAAGAGAAGGGTGCTTGAAGCCCCAAATGCTCCCCCAGAACCAAAAGCTGGGGCACTTGATGCACCAAATGAAGTCCCTGTGCTACCAAAGGCCGGAGTGCTGCTAGCACCAAAGGCCGGAGAACTTGTAGCACCAAAGGCTGGAGTGCTTGTAGCACCAAAAGCAGGGGTACTAGCAGCGCCAAAGGCAGGGGTACTTACAGCCCCAAATGCAGGGGTGCTTGTCGAACACAAAGCGGGAGTGCTAGTAGCACCAAATGCTGACTGACTTGAAGCCCCAAAAGCAGGAGCACTAGAGGCCCCAAAAGCAGTAGTGCTTGAAGCCCCAAAAGCGGGAGTGCTAGAGGCTCCAAATGCAGGGTTGCTTGATGATCCAAAGAGAGGGGTGCTTGAAGCCCCAAATGCTCCCCCAGAACCAAAAGCTGGGGCACTTGATACACCAAATGAAGTCCCTGTGCTACCAAAGGCTGGAGTGCTGGTAGCACCAAAGGCCGGAGAACTTGTAGCACCAAAGGCTGGAGTGCTTGTAGCACCAAAAGCAGGGGTACTAGCAGCACCAAAGGCAGGGGTACTTGCAGCCCCAAATGCAGGGGTGCTTGTCGAACCAAAAGCGGGAGTGCTAGTAGCACCAAATGCTGACTGACTTGATGCACCAAAAGGTGTGGAGGAACCAAATAAACTGCTCCCAAATGCAGGCTGTGATTGCTGAGTCGTGCCTCCAAAAGGACTTGTTTGAGTAGGAGTGGACCCAAAGCCGAAAGCAGGCTTTGCACCGAAAACAGAAGAACCTATGTTGTAGAGCAAGAGAGAGAGATCAGTTTTTCAAAGACTAAAAAGATAACATAAGTCAACTAGATTAACAAGCCTTTTTAAGATAAAGCATGTTAACAGTAAATAAGAAAGTTATATACAAATGCAATTAGTTTCAAGATCTGAACTTATAAAAAAACAAAAAATAAATAAAAAAATAAAAAAAAAATAAGGCTGCCATGTTGAAGAGGGTGATTAATAAAGAAACAAATCAACATCAAAATGAGGGCTAAAACAGAAACACCACTGCACGGAAAATACAAACCAAATGTAAAGAAAGATGAACCAAATATAGTAGCTATGAGAAAGGCTTCTGTCTTAGTGTTTATGCATTATGTTTCTCTGTCATCTCAAAGAAGTTCACACTTAATTAATTGTACCAATGGAATCCTATCATATTAGGGGGTATAGGCATCTAGTCTTAGTACACCACTTGACAAGGGAAGTTTTGCCTTAGGATTAGATAACCCTTGTCTTATAATAATCATAACTTCTTCAAATGATAAATTCCCAGCATAGTAAAATGACCTCCTTAAATAAATTCTCCTAATATGGTTCAATGACCTCTTCTATCGAGAAAAAAAAAAATGGCAAGGAGTTGTCTGGTGGAGATAAACAAAAATACAAGAGACATTCATACGAAAAAATCCAATGGAGTAAACAAGTGAGTTTGCTTCCATTAAAAATCTCATAAGCTACACCGAGAAAATCAGCTAAAGGAGATTTAGTATATTATAATAACAATAAACATACAATGACAAGAATGTTAGAAGAACATATCCGTCTCCAACCCCCTCATGAGCCAAAAGGTCTCCTGTTTACACTTGAACAATTAGTCATGACAAGCACACACAAAAAAAGGGGCAAAAATACCTGTAAAAACTCCATTACAAAATCACTGGCACCCAAGACATCTATCAACTGAAAACAATAACCATCTTTCTCAAAAGTAAAAATAAAATCAACAAATCAAGTGAAAAGTGAAAAGTGGAGACAGCAACAAATAAATGGGTAAATATTTATGAAACATTCTAATCCATATACATACCACCAAATGCTGATGATGAACCACCAAAAGCAGGAGTGGAAGATGCTCCAAAAGCAGGCATTGCATTTCCAAAGGCTGGTGATGACGATGCACCAAAGGTTGTTGTGGACGAGAAAGGTGAAGATGACTGGGCAGCACCAAATACACCGGTTGAAGTACCTCCAAACACTGAACTTGTTGTCGAACCAAAAGGGGTTGTGGTACCGAATGGTTTGGGAGCGAAAGGATTGTTACTTGCATTGTTGGTCTGCCCAAAGACTGATTGGGACCCAAATGGGCTACTAGATGACTGCCCAAAAGCTGTTCAGTGGAATCCCGCCAGTTAAATTGATATTCCAAAAAGTAATTACTAACTAATCTCAGAATTCCCCATGCACACAGATATGTGATGATCACCAAACAGTTGAATTAATAATGGCAGCATGTTGACAAAATGATATCTGATAGAAGTGACAGAGTGCTTGACCAATAAAAAAAATTGAAACATATTCACAAATCTGATGTAATATTTATCAGTATATAGCATCAAAAATTTTACACACACAACAAAAAATCATCTAGTTTTACAGGAACCTTTAGACGTAATTCAGCAAATCACATAATTTATGAAAAAAGAAGCAATTATAGTCCATGAAGATTCATACAAGCTACAAAGGTTACCACATAGCTTCAAGTTCAAGGGGAAAACATGGACACAGTAACACAAACACTACAGTAAGTTGTAAAAGCATAAAATGAATGCAGCATGGCCGAAACAACATAAATTTTGCAAGGAAACAGGAAAAAAAAAAAAAAATCAATCTACTAGAATACAAGGTGAAAGGAACACTTACGGTTAGTTGAGCGAACATTGTCTTCTCACTTATTATCTTTCTTCTTCTTCAGTCCAAAACAGTAACCAAGCCTTGATTTGATCCCAAACTAAACACAGTTAAAAACATGAAAAAGAAACAAGAAAATCTCGTTATAGTCAAATAAAACAAGTCTATTTAAAATAAACAACACAGTAATTTCCAATTCATTTCAACCAATATCACCTCACATTATACAAATAAAATCAAAACAAAGAGAATCGTTTCGAATATAGTGAAAAGAATAAGGGGGAAGACAGAACAACAGTGATTATTACAATAAAACACGCATTGCTTCAATGAATCAATATATTAAAAAAATAAATAAAATGAAAAAACCCTAGCTGCGAACAGGAATTACATGTATGGTTGTCATGTGAAATAAGTGAGAGAGGTACTCACCGAGGATCTGAAGGGCGTGAGAGAGAAGCAAGGGTTTACACTTGTACACCGTCTTACAGACGTGCTGGGTGTTTTTATTTATGTTTATGTTGATTGTTGAGGATTGAACTCAAGATCAGCACAGCGTTGCGTTATTTAAGTCCGTACTGGCCAGTACAATCTACACGCGTAGCGTTTCTTTTAAGTCCCCCCCCTTTTTTCTTTTATATTTTTTTTCTATTTTCTTTTAATAAATATTTCAAATTATTCATTATCTTACATTTAAAAAAAATATTAAAACATTTACTGACGGGTATTATTTTTTTTGTTTTGCATGTATTCATATGTTAGAGGATAAATGAAATATTTAAGCATTAGGCTCGCTTGTTTCACTCTTCCGAATATTATTTTGGTTTTTTCTATAAAGTTAAACAGTAAATAGTTATTATGAAAATATTATTTATATTATTTAATTTATTTAAACCCCTATAATTTATAATTATAAACACCCCCAATTTTTTTCAAAAATTACAAAAACACCCCAATAACCTACATTACACAGATTCTGGCCACCACTGTCGAAAGCGGCCGAAATCTAAATGATGCACTACCGACTGAACTGACAGGTAGTGGGCCGATCTAGCATTTTTCAGTCAGATCCATGGTAGATCTGACAAAAAAATGTCAAATATTTGGTGTAGCCAGTCGTCAATGACGATCATATCTTTGACCGTCGTAAACGCCAGATCCACCGTAGATCTGGCCGAAAAAGGCCATATCAACGCACGACGACAAGATCCGCCAGTCATGTGCCAATACGGAGGCTCGACCACTCCGACGGTGGTGACCGACTGTCTGATTTAATGGGTGGATTGAGTGTGGTTTGTTAACTTTTAATATTTTATTATAAGAGTGTTTAGTAAATAAACAAGCATAGGGATATTTTTGTTAATTTCTAAATCCTACATCGTAATACTCACCACACATTTAACTTTTAAAATATTATTCTAAAAAGTGTTAGAATAGAACCAAACAGACCCTTATATCCGAGGGCAGGCTAGTTTTTCATTTTTTTAAATAAGAATAAGGATGTAATTTGTTACAAGTATTTGCACCAGCGACTAGACTAGTCTTCTAAAATTTGAAATTAATTATAATAATGTAACTCTTACAAACTGGTAAGAAGGTTATATTATTAAATTCTTTAATTAAATTATACATATATAGAATTCTTCCAAATTTGAAATTAAATTATACTTTGTCTCATTCCTAAAGAAAACATTTAAGTTTTGGATTATAACACTCTAGACTGAGAGGAAAAGCATTAATAATATAACATTTGAAAGAAAAGCATAATATTTGGGGGTTCATACCCAATTATTATCTTAAATTATCCATTTTGTTATTATCATCTTAATTCTAAGTTAGAGAAAGGATATCCCCCAGCAGACTGACCAGCAGAATGCTCTACCTGAAATTTGGAATGTAAAGTGAAAATAAAAGAATAAGCCAATATCCACTTATAGGAACAAAACTACTAATTTTCCAGATTTCATCAACTTACCATGGCAGGATCTGCTTCAGTCGTAGGTGTGTAAGTAGCCACTCTACTTCACACATTGGCCCCCAAAATTTGACTGCCCAAATACTGATGAAGGAGCGAAAGGGCTTGATGGAGCAGCTGATACACCAAAGCCAATTCCCAGCAGACTGACCAGCAGGAAGTGATCCGCTGAAATTTGGAATTGCAAAGTGGAAAATAAATGAATCAGCCAATGTCACACTTTGGAACAAGAACTACTGATTCTAAGATCATCAACTTCCTTACCTCCCAACTGATAATCCTCCATCTCAGCTCCTCATGACTTTATCTTTATAGACAGGCATGGCAGATATTGACTCCAACTTTCCAGCAGGCTGCGTACCACTGCCAGTATCTGCTTCAGTTGTAGGTGTGTAAGCAGCCACTCTACTTCACACCTTGGCCCCAAAATTTGACTGCCCAAATACTGAGAAAGAGCGAAAGGGTTTGATGGAACAGCTGATACACCAGAGCCAACCCCAGCAGACTGACCAGCAGGAAGTGGTCCACCTGAAATTTGGAATTGTAAGTGGAAAATAAATGAATCAGCCAATTTCACCACTATAGGAACAAGAACTACTAATTTTCCTGAAAAGAAGATACTGCTTGTGTCTGACCCAAGTTGCTAAATCCAAAAGCACCCCCACTCTGGCAGGTGACACAGTTGGAATGGCATAGAAACAGAGGGCTAAAGATGCATGCACAACAAAATAAAATACATAGATTTTAACAGAAACTTCAAAATCCAAACATCACTCCAGCGGAGCAGCACAACACAGAAAGTCCAATAGAAGGAGATTGTTGAAAGAATAAGCTCAGACTCCTGTGGTAGCAAAAGCAGCAATAAGGTTAACAAACAAATTATAGCCAACAATATTCCAAAAATTACTAAGCAATATAACAAAATTATGCTCATCAAGCCTCTAATTGGGCATGTATGCGAAATTTTATTCCAAGAACTTTATTCTATTAAAATTATATTTTGCTCCTGTTATTTATCTATCAGTCTCCATAAACCTAGTCCCTAACATTTAGATATGCCAGCACAAAAGTTGGACTGGCCGATGAGAATAAATGTAAAGGACTCCTTAACATACCAAAGCAGCACAGTAAATTTCAGTAATGGCCTTAACAGAAATAAGCTCTAAAACTCTCTTCAGATGAATTAAAATACAACAATAAAACATCATACTTACTAAATATCAATTGAACAACTAAGCTTTATATGACAATGAAAGAAATCAATTTTAGCAATTTCAAAGTCACTTACAGTTGGTTGACCGAACAATGTTGTGTAGAAGAGCTAGTGATGGAGTGCTCAAGAACATGCCACAAGAAAATCCAGTGGAAGGTGTGCTAAAACAATTTGAATACCAAACGAAGACATAGTACTATTGTTCAAATGAAGAGGTGGCCGTCCAAAACCAGAACCTGTCTGTCCTGGGGCCACGGAACTGAACAATGGAGATGACTGATTACAAAATCTTGCCAAAGCCAAATGTGACATTGCACCCTGAGGTGCTTACTATTGAAGAGGGATGATGACGAACCAAAAGTAGACAGAGGTGAATTTGCACCCAATGCAGAAGTTGATGTTGGCATGCCCAAATAGGAAGGAGCTGCAGAGAAGTTGATCCAAAAGGATTAGGTGTAGACGATACACAAAAAGCGAGGGTACCAAAAGCAGCTGAAATGGTGGTTCCAAAACTGATCCAGTAAAAGTTGAAGTTTTGGGAGCAAATAGATTTGAAGATGTAGTGTTGGAAAAAGGACTAGCTGATGATGCCCCAAATACTGATGAAGGAGCGAAAGGGCTTGATGGAGCAGCTGATACACCAAAGCCAATTCCCCAGCAGACTGACCAGCAGGAAGTAGTCCACCTGAAATTTGGAATTGTAAAGTGGAAATAAATGAATCAGCCAATGTCACCACTTATAGGAACAACAACTACTAATTTTCCAGATTTCATCAACTACCTTTACCTCCCAACTGATAATCCTCCATCTTAGTCCTCATGATTTTATCTTTATAGACAGGCATGGCAGATATTGACTCCAACATTCCAACAGGCTGCGTACAGCTGCCAGTGTCTACTTCAGTTGTACGTGTGTAACCAGCCATTCTACTTCCACCACGTTGGCCCCCAAAATTTGACTGCCCAAAGGGGGTGCTACCAAAGTTGGTGTTGTAGCTTGGGATCCTGCATGATAGCATACAACAGTCATAAAATTTTATTTTGCTTCTTTTGATAGTTGATGACAAACAAGTAATGATAGAGAAATAGCTATTGTAGGGCTAATGAGCTTCCTATCGACACAAAGCTTACAGAAGATAAAAAATCATTATTTATTAAGAAACTCACGAATGGAGAATCTGTGCTCCAAAGGAGATGTACTGGTGCCGAATGGGCTGCTACCAAATGCAGAAGTGACTGGCCAAAAGAAGGAGAGCCCAAACTGAAAGATGCAGTACTAGATGCCCCAAAGGGGAGTACTTGAAGCGCCAAAGGTAGGAGCACTTGAAGCCCCAAAAGCAGGAGCACTAGGCCCCAAGCAGGAG